GGCGGGTGGGCGGGCATGGGGGGCGCTCCGAGCGGCCCCGGCGGCCGGGCCGGCATCTCCGCGGCGTCCCTCCGCTAGAGGAGGGGACCAAGCCAATTCTCCTTTGCAGCAAAAAATTACATGTATATATTATTAAGATAATATATACATCTGATCTTATTTTTTAAAAAAAAGTTTATTTTGCTCCATTTTTGAAAAAGAGGGAGCGTGGGTGGCGAGCGGTTTTTACAAATTATTCTTATTTTCTGCTATCTGTCCCCGTCCCTCCCCACCCCCTGCTGAAGCGACAATAAGGGCAGGGACCGCGGCTCCTACCTATCGGTAACCCCCTTACCCGTTCCTTCCCCGCCCCAACGCCCAGCACCGTGCCCTGCACACAGTAGGCGCTCAATAAATGTTCGTGGATGATGATGATGATGATGATGAAAAACATGCACCATCAACGGCAGCAGCAAGCGGACCACGCGAACGGTGAGCAGCCAGAGCCTGGGCACCCGCTGCCAAATCTCATCCTTGTCATGGTCCTCCTCTTCCCACCCCCTCTTCCTTCCCACCCCCTCCCGTCTCTGATGCACTGGGTGGGTTGAGGGGGTTGGAGAGGATGCTTCTAGCTCGGTGCCATCTACATAGAAAGGGGAGATGCGTGACAGCCACTCCGTTCTCCCCTTCAGGCCTTGAATGTCAGAGTTAATTCTGCATTTGTGGGGTGGGGGCGGCCGTGGAGTCCTTGGAGTACTGTGCCGCCGGAGGGGCGGCGAGCCGAGGTGATGCGGGTTCAGTGTCCTCGGGCTCAACTTTCCTCCAACGCTCCCGAGCGATGGAGGGGGGGATGGCTGTTAGTCCTCAGCCTGAGCCCCCTTTCCAGCCTCTTCTCGCCTTCCCCTCCTTCCCCGCCCCCTGGTCTCCAGTGGCATCCGGAAAATTCTAGGATTGCCCGGTTTCCCTCTTCGCGACGGTGGGTGAAGCACACCCCGCCCCTGGAGAGGGAGGCCGGGTCTCGGAATCGCGGCCAGGGGGTCGGGTGGAGCGTATTCCCGCTCCCAGCGCCGCTGTGCACACGTCGGTAACCTAGCAATGCCCGGGGAGTCGCTGCCGCTGTGGGGCTCCTCTCCCCAGCCCGGCCTGGGCACCACGTGCAGCCACCACGCCGGCCGGGCTGGGTCGAGACGGAGGCTGGAATAGCTTCTGGTCAGCCCTCCTACCTCCTCCTTGGAGGCCGGGGGCGCTCCACCCCCCCGCCCCCCAACCTCAGTGGGCTCACAGCCTTCCCGCGAGAGCGCTTCCCAAGGGAAGGCTCTGCACGATTCCTCCCCAGCTCGGTCCCCAGCTTGGGACGGCTGCTGCCTGAGCCCCCTCTCCCCCCACCCCGTGGCCCCCTTCTCAAGTTGCTGGGCAGGCCGACCTGTGCTTGCTTGGATTCTCTCTTGCTCTTAGCGAGAATTGGTTTTGCAAATGCCATCTCTCTACCTTTGCCACCACTCTTACTTTGACTTCTGTCTCAATAAGGAGGTTGTGACTCAAGGTAGGCAAGTGCCTGGGAGACCTGCTTGGGTGGTGGCCTGACCCAAAGTCAGAAGGGGCTTTGCACATGGAGCCCCCTGGGGGTTCTGCCCTGTACTTAGATGCCAGCCTGCACTTAGGTGACTCCTGCGTGGACCCTGAGGGCCCCTGGCATAATCCATCCTGTCTTTCCTAGGTGTAGGGGTGCAGGCTGTCTGCCTTGACGGTTTCTCTGCATGCTGGCTTGGCTGCTGCGGCTGCAATTTAAAATGCAAAAAAGCCCTAAAGATGTTTTCTGTTTTCGGAAGCCTGTGGAGGAAATGAGTCCCAAGCATCATGAATTTTCATTTGCAGGAAGTGTCAGTGCATAATCTGGATATTTGTTATGGGGCTTTTGGTATTGCCCTGGTGCCAGTGGAGGATTTTTTTTTTCCTATGCCGAAAAAAATGCATTTGTGGCTGTACAAAGATGTTGGAGTGACATCCTGAAAATGATTAAGACTATTGAGTTATTGGCACTGCCTTTTTTTTTTTTTTTTTTTCCGGTGGTGATCGTGGTAGTTATTTTGGAGAAAAGCTATTGTGCCTATCTGTTAACTCATTAGAGATCCATGGGTTTTAAAAGTCAGAATAGGTGGAATAAATGTGGATGGCCTCAGTTTGAAGAAAGGCACTAGCAGAGTCCTTGTGGAGACGTGGATGTAGAGAGGCGCTCACCCCATTGCGCCGGTGGTCCTGTGGCCCTCAGGGCCCAGCACGTGGACTTCTTGCTCTGGCTGACCACAGTCCTGCTTCTGAAAAATAGGACATGAGGTTCAAAATGGAAACATGGGAACCATACCCTCCCCCCGTTATTGATGGGAGACACCTTTACTTTTTTTCCGACATTGGATTCTCATTGTTTATTCGTTTGTTCATTTTTCCTTTTCTCCTTCTTCCCAGAGGCAAACTATGCAAGAGGCACCAGACTCCCTCTTTCTGGTGAAGGACCAACTTCTCAGCCGAATAGCTCCAAGCAAACTGTCCTGTCTTGGCAAGCTGCAATCGATGCTGCCAGACAGGCCAAGGCTGCCCAAACTATGAGCACCTCCGCACCCCCACCTGTGGGATCTCTCTCCCAAAGAAAACGTCAGCAATACGCCAAGAGCAAAAAACAGGGTAACTCGTCCAACAGCCGACCTGCCCGCGCCCTTTTCTGTTTGTCACTCAATAACCCCATCCGAAGAGCCTGCATTAGTATAGTGGAATGGAAGTATCCTTTTTTTGGGGGGGAAGTCTTTCTCATTTTCTCTTTTACCATCTGTTCTTTAAAAGGATCTGCTTTCTGAAATGGCACTTACAAAGTCGTAGCAGTCTGGAATGTGAGCAACAGAAAAGCTCTATGTAAAGGGTTTCATTGTATATACCTTCCTATCTCCTCAGGGTGCAGAGGGCTTGCTCTATGGGTGTATTTAGCCGTGTGTGTGTGTGTGTGTGTGTGTGTGTGTGTGTGGTGATGATGGAGGGAGGGGGTGACAGCCTGAGACTTCAAAGTGGTAGTTAAGTAGGGAACTGACCTTTGGTCATTTGGCACTAAATGGTTAGTTTAAACCCACTATTGCTTTTGGGGCTGTGATATGCATCGAACCTATTGCAAATGAGGTATGCTGATTGAAGACAAAAAGACCGTATGAGACTTCGCTAGAAATAAATACATTTTTGACTTTTAGTGACATCTTCCCATTCCGATGTTTAGAATTTGTTTCTGAAACTCCCAACTACTGCTGAGGTTGCTTCTAGCTCTGACATTTGCTGATTCTGATTGTTCAGGTAGCTACAAATATGAACACTTGCTTCGTAGGGAGGGAGCAATTTGCTCATCAATGCTATGACTTCCTGGAATTTCCTTTTGACATGTTCCAAAAAAGCATTTGAAACGTGAGCGTGAGGGAGCGTGTGGAGGGAGAGGCTTGTGTGCGCCTCTCCCTCTCCTTCGTGAGCCCTTGTGAGTTAGAGAGCAGTCTGTCAGCGGGGGAATTTGCAGTTGCTGCCCTTATAAAACATTCTGTCTGTGTCCTTGGACTGGAGTTACATTTCTGGGTGTCTCCTTTGTATTTTTAAAACTGAACTCCAAATGCCCTAGGATGGTTGTTACGTCCCAGATCTTGGAAAACTAGGGTGCTCGGCCTGCTCACCCCCTTCCCCAAATCTGGAGGCCAGTCTCCAATTGCTGCCACCCTTTAGAAAAGGTTGACTGAGGCCTCCTTTCTGAACAAATGGCTTTCTAATTAGTCAGATGATTCATTGGTCTGGGTAAAACAAAGCATTTCCTTTTCCCAGAAGTGTATTTGGGACTGACAGGAGCCTTAGAGTAGCTCCTGAGCATAGGAAGGAGTATGAATGTTGGGCTTCCCCCACCACACCCAGGGTGAAGGGGCTCACGAGGGGGGAGGATATTGGCCACCAGCTGGAAGGTGGAACCATAAGTTCCCTTATAGCCTGAGTGCCTAGCGAGGCGGCTCTTTGCAGGCCTTCTGCCGTAGCTGGCTGTTTTCTGTGCTCACGGACACAAGTTAAAATGAGCTAACTTTGCCTAGAAAGGTTTTGGAGAGGGCAGCCAAATGCAAGGGTAGGGTTTGAGAGGTTTTCATGTGCTTCTCCTTTTTAGAACAGGTGTCTCCCCTCTGGAGGGAGTTACAGTGTCTCTCACATGGCTGGGGGTGCGTGGATACGTTTTCTGTGTAAGTTCTCTCCTAGTCTGAGAATGAACGCTAGGATCAGCCCGGAGGCCGCTGGGTGCATAGTGCGTGCCTTGGTGGTATCGCTGGAGTCGGAAGCATTTTTGCACCTGGCCAGAAAGATCTCCTCCTCCTGAGGTTGGCTTGACACCACTCCGGGTAAGCAGAGACCTCTCTGGGGCCATTCATTCCATGTGGAGTGAGGTGGGAGGCCTGCCGCTGTTTCTCTTCGTGCATACTAATTTGCCTATCACAATTTATGTGTGCGGAGTGAATTCCGGGATCATGCTGCTGACTCCCTTTCCCGCATGGCCAGACACATGTGTACAGGAACTAGGGGATGTGGCTGCCTACAAATGGGACAGTCTGTAGAACAGATCTTTAAACAACATATGATCTGTTTGTCTTTCCCAGTGACAGTTCCCTTCTAGTTCAGGGAGCAGGTTATAGAAATTCTCCGAAAGCCAGCTGTGCCAGGCCCAGTCCACACTGGGAGAGTGAGATCCTCACTGGTTTGTACACCCAGACAAGGCAAGACCGTCCTGCATCTTGGGGGAATGAGGAGTGCTGGCCTTATCAGAAGGAATTTTGGGGAGCAGGCCCCTCTATTTATTGCTCTGTTCTGCATGACTTGTAAATATCTTGTGGCAGTGAGATGGTTACCCACCAACACCTGGCAACTGAAACCGGACCACCATAAAGAAAAAAAAAGTCTTTGGCTTTCCTAAACAGCACTGGTATTTCTCGGATTTGCTGGTCTATCATTTAGGTACTGGGAACTAAAAAGGAAGAATGGTGGTATGGGGGTGGGGGACGACGGGAGAGACCACAGTGTGTTTCTATGTAGGTTAACACTGGGGCAACTGGTTTTTAAAATTTCAGTAGGAACAGCAAAAAAGAAAAACGAAAAGAGGATCCTGAAGTCTTCTGAAGGGGAACTGTCTTAAGGTTGGATCCTTGGATAAGAGATTTTGTAATACTGGATGAGTTAAAAGAATAAATATGAATGAAAGCTAATTGGCTTTAAAAAATAAACCCATCAAAATTAGTAAGAGAAGAATGTCATTCGTGTCCTTTTTTCAGTGAGTATCAAAACACTTTTGAAGGGGCTGATTTTTCATAAGACTCAGGGTATCCCAAGAGAGGTAGGGGGCCTTTGTTTCCTTCAGCACTTTTGGATTTCCCAGAAGAATATCAGGATGGATGGAGAAGGGTCTGTTCACATCCTCAAAGCTTTAGTACTTGGAGATGTTTAGTTAAACCAGTGGCTTTGCCTTTTGTGAGTGAGGTTATGGCAGAAACACTTATAAAATCAAGCCACCCTCTTCCCCCACCAAGTTGCAGATTATGTTGGTGCTCAGAAACCTTGCATTCAGAAAGCCTGAAAGCCAAAAGAAGAAAAACAGTCATTCTGGCAGAAGTCAAATTTTGCATTGCCAGTTTTGACAATGTCTCTTAATAACACCAGAATGTTGAAGCAAGTATCTGTTGCAAGCTGATTTCAAAGTGATTTCTTCCAGACAGACCCCCGAGATTTAGAATTGTTCAATTGTACTTTCAAAGTGTCTGGTGCTGATTTCTTATGGCTTTTTATTTAATTTGTTTATAAATTGAATGCAGTAACAGCTCATTAGAAACGGAGCTCCAGTCCAGCTGTAATCCGAAACAGTGATAGGCATTGATTAGTAAAGGAAGCAGAGGGGGAGCTGGAGCCTGGCTTGCTTGTTACAGTGTTGGAGGTATTGGAACATGCCACGAGACAGTCACAGGTAGAATGTAGAACGTTCTGGTGCCTTGGCCTGCCCCGGTCCAGACAGGAGACTGACCCAGCCAAGAATAGCCCCCGAGAAAATGGCTTTAACACATGGAGGCAAGGATTTGTGGAAGAGATTTGTCTCATGAGGACTTCTCTTTGTGTCTACAACAGCCAGGAATGTAGTGTTCTCAGGTCTTTGTCGCTTTTAAAACTTTAAGAAGCAGAAACATGGTTCATAGGGTGCCCTCATCGGATGCATGTTTAGGTTTCAATATAAAATGCACAGCAAAGAATGAGCGTAACATGATCCTTGCAAGAGAAGGAAAGGACATGGAAAAGTCATTCGATAGGAAGATCTGCCAGATGACCATGGACGATTACATTTGCCGGAGACATCGTGGTCATAACAGTTGGTTGAGAAAGGACTCGTGTGCATAATTTTCATTTCTAAAATGATTTAAGAGTGGTGATTGAGAGTGTGATGAGAGAGATGGTTTATGTTTGCATAAGACATATATGCCTTAACAACGTTTTTCAGACCATTTGACATATTTATATTATTGGCTATTTTTGCCAATTGTGTGGCCTTAGCTATTTACATCCCATTCCCTGAAGATGATTCTAATTCAACAAATCATAACTTGGTAAGTGTCCTTAGAGTTCCTGCTCGTCCTGATGTGTGGTTATCATTTCCCTCTCTACTTAAACTGGCAGCTGGCTCTCTGGGTGGTGGAAGTTTACAGCTATGCATGTGATGTTTCCTGGAGCTTTGCAACAGTGGGTTTGTTTTTGTTTTTGTTTTTGTTTTTTCCTCTGACCTGTATTCTCAAATTTATACTGAATGAAAGCGTTTAAAGTCATGAATCTTGCATAAATAGATGTGGCACTTTTTTATGGAAGAGGTTTGTAGCAGATTTTAAAATAACTTTTCTCTCCACATAGGCTTTTGCTATCTACCATTCTTTTCTGGATAATATTAGCTGTTTGTTTTTTTTTTAAATCAGTGTTTATTTAGGAGTGGTGGGTATTTTGTTTGGTCAATTTCTCTGGTAAGTAGAGAATTATCATACATTTTGTACATGAACTATTCATTTTTAGAGCATCAGAATACAACAGAATGAATAGATCTACATGGAACATAATTTGGAGATTATAGTGTAGTATTCCACTAGGAGTATCCTATGAAGATCCATTTTATCCCAAGATAAAATGATTCTAGGGTTAAATAAATTGGGATACTTCCACATACTTCACTGCCCTCTTAAAGATTTATAGTGCACATTAGCTCAGTAAGAGCTCCGGGAAGGTCTGTAGTTAAAAAACCAGTTTCATTTTGTTTAACTCAGCTAGTCCCTAAAAGTAATTGGTCATGGATTCTTCAAACAGTTTTTTGGCAGAACACATCACGGAACCAGTGTTTCATGAAACTTCCTTTGGGAAAGGTTGATATAGTTTAAAAAAAAAGAAAGAAAAAAGAAAAAGAGCCCGAAAGAGCACCAGAGTTGGGACTAGGAGCTTGTCCCATCGAGCTGGGACGACTAGCTGTGTTTTGGGGGGCATTTCCCAAATCCTTCCTGCGTTGCCATTCACCCACTTGTCAAGGGAGCTGGATGAGAAGATCACTGGGATCGTGTTTACCTCTGACATTCTGTAATCTTTTCTTGATGATTCAGAATCCATGTCAGGATTTTTCTGGAGCGCAGCATCCTCCTTGGGGGAGGCTGTGCAGAAAGGCAGGTGGAGCAGGGGGCCAGTGCTGGGTAACAGGGAGCTCTTTCTCTCTCTTGTTTTGCTCTCTTCTCTTTTAGCTGGATTCATTTGGTTCTGGTTTCCCATGTTGAAGCTGTATTTGAGTAGGGTGGCTGTAACTAAGTGAGTGGTGTGAAGGCAGAACTGGTGTTTGTGTGTGGGGGGCTCTGCTGGGTTCTGAAGATCCTGAAATTATGCTCTTGTGATTTTAGCCTCAATGGTTTATATACCGGATTTCATGTGTAACGTGAAATGTTACATATTGTGTAAAATGTTGTGGCATATGTCAGATAGGACATGATGTCTGTTCATATTTGGGCTTTTATAGTCTGATTTCTAGAGAATGTAAAAAGGTTTTGGGTATTGCTACTGAAAATATAACTCAACAGGAGTTGGATACACATATGCACGTTTGCCATTAGTGTGGATTTATACTATGCTAGAGGTGATTTGTGTGCTTTGGGATATTTTAAACAGCTTCTGATTTGGTCGTAGACACGTGATATTAGATGATCATTTTAAAGGAAGAGCGGAAGTGGCAAAAAGCCCCCATCAATGGGGATGGATCATCAGAGTCTAGGCCACAGATGGTGTTAGCCTTGTTACCAAATTTAACAATGTGGATGGTGACCCAGTTTGTTGCTTTTTGTAGCTCAAGAGAACATGATTAAACAAACTTAGAAAATAAATACCTTTCAGAAAGGCAGATTAATTCAGATCAATGGAATAATTAATGTAGCTGCGTGTGTAAGCCAATTAATATTCTGATTTTTCCCAGGGAAATTCAGGGCACTGATATCTGCCGTCAGACCGTTTGGATTTCTCAGCTAATGAGTAAGGGAATAAAACATAGGAAATGGATAAATCTCTCTTCTCCCTTGCAATCCCTCCCTAGCGGATGCTTTCTTAACAATTCTTAAACAGTGGTATTTTAAGGGGGGGGAGGGAGGCAGTGTATTCGTTTGGCAGGCCTTTCTAAAAACCAACATACACTCCTTTGACCTCTTACTGTTCTGAAACTCATAGCATTTGAGTTTCTGTCTTGTTTCACTTGGATGGTCACGTGGCCAGAGGAGTTTATTCTCTGCTTGACTCTAAATATTTCCTTTCCCACTGTGGGAAGGGAAGATCTTTGTGGATTTCCCCCTGACTCTTTGCAAGGTCCCATGGCATGTCAGTGCTCCCGCCAGGGAGCCGGGTTTTTTTTTAATACATTTGACCCATTTTGTACCAAAGTGATTGCTCTATTTTGGGGATTGGTTTAGAGGCGGCCGAACGAAGCTTATTTTTCATCTGTAGTAAATACCTTTCAGTTAACATGAATGGCAAATCGAGGGGCAGAGACCGATATGGGTTGCAAAGCTGCACGTGTCAGGGAGCTGGTGGTTTTCTTTGCTCCATAGCTCTGTGGGAAATGTGTGTATGTTGAACCCTTAGAGGCTGCTTTGTTGCCAAGCTGTGTCTGCCTCTTACAGGTCGTTTGTAGTGACACGATTAGTTCTATCGGGTAAGAAAGGTGGCCATCCCCATCGGGCCAATGTATGTTTGGTCTGGGTTGCTTGTAACTGAGCCAGCTTTGGGAATCTGGAGACTACCTTGGGGGCAGCAAGTTTTCCCAGGGTTAGGTTTTTTTTTTTTTTTTTTTTTTAAATATAAACAGTCTCAAATTTCTATGCAGTTTCATTTGTGGACTTGCAGGGACTAGTGGAGGTTGAAGCCATGGAAACGGTACGACTGAGTTCCCACAGTGAGACCCTTCTTGGCTCAGTCTATAACACTAGCTCCTCAGTTCCACTTATTGCAAGTGTATATCATTTATTTAATTTCTTCTTAGCCCAGGGTGGGGAGCAGCGGGGAGCTCTGCTTTCCAGAGCATCAAAGGGGGGCTGCTTACAATCCTGTGCTTCGCTGTGTTGAAGAATGCTCTATTTGGCTTCCCAGACTTCAGTGTCTCAGAGGTGGACGGATGCGGTTGAAGTTGTCTGTCCTGCCTGCTCCTGGTACTCCCCAGCCCCAGGCTGAGTGCCGCTCTCTGTAGTGCTCAGTCGCCTGAAATTAGAGCCATCCCACACTGGGGTGTTCATCTGCCAGTTCGGACCTCTCCTAATGTCTGCAAATGACACCAGCCCCAGAGGGCGAGGCCTGTGGCCCAGGCCTCTCTACCCCTTTATCAGGCACAGTTGCTTCTACCAGGGGCTCAAGAAATCCTCCTTTGATTCAGCAGGAGCTTTTATGGAGTCTTTGATGCCTTTCCAGCCCCCTTCCTCATCTGTTGTTGCAGCCTTTTTTTTTTCCTTTAGCCCGTTGACATTTTGCCTCTACAGAACCCCTCGCATCTTCCTCCCCATCCACACCTCTGTGGTGTGGCCAGGTCCTCCTGGGCTGTCTGAGCTTTCTGAGTCCCTCCTTCCCAGCAGTGCCCCCCCCCCCATTTGCCCACCCATAGTTCCTAAACACTCCTTCTGTGTTCTTGCCCACCTTCTAGCCTCTTCTCTGCCTGTAGCGTCTCTTCCACTCCGGCCCTTGGAGGAATTCAGGAACCGTCTCAAACTATGTCTCTTCCAGGAGGGCTTTTCCCACCCTGATCCGAAGGAAAGCTCTTATCCAAACCTCTCTCATGACCCTTCCCGTACAAAATACCCTATGTTTTAGTTCCTCATATGCATGTCTTATCTCGATCTTACCAAGCATCTTCAGAATACAATTCTTAGTGAATCATTTTGGAATCACCAGGGGGTACGAAGTAGCAGTTCAGTAAACACATGTTGTTGCTGTGACTGCCAGGAGAAGAGCCTCACCCCTTCTTTCCTCTGGGCTATATTCGGGATTTCCTTGGGTGACAGGTCCCTCTGTGGACTCCTTGGAGGTCTTTAGCTGGGAGCTGGTGGGACATTGTAAGCGCTTGTTCCTGAAAAGCTTCGGGTCTTGTGACTCTGCTTCTCGAGCTCCTCTGGCTGAAGGAGCCCTGGGAGCCAGGTATCAGAGCTGAGCCATCTAGCACATTTTGTGCTCAGAGTCGCCGAGGGGTGTGAGTGCCTCTTGGCAGTGGGACCATTGTAAGGTGCCTTACAATGCCCAGGAATGTTATGGGACAGAGTACTCTGCTTGCCTTCTCTCTTCCACGGCTGAGATCCCGATGCAAGGTGTTTCCTGGGCTTGCAAAGTGAGCTCATTGGATCTGCGCGGTCCTATAGTTTAGCATCTCACAGTTTCTGCACATAGGGGGACTTACTGAAACACGGTTTCATAACTTGGTTCGTTGGGCTTAGCCTATAAGGTGGGTTTTAGTCCTGTACCTTCCGCACACTGTGTCTTTGCTCTGTTGTCTTTCTGTTTGAACTGTGCGCTCGTATTTCTGTCCGACTAGATTCTGTCTGTTCTAGGACACAGCTCCTGTGCTGCTTCCTCAGCTCAGCCTCCCCTGAGCCTCATCCACTCCTGCCTCCCACCCCACCTGCCTGAGTTTAAGTACTGGTTTTCCCTCTGCCCTCCTGTAAGCACGGTAAACTCTCTTCTTTATGTTCATTTGCCCCTTTCCACCTCTTTTTATAGCTGCTACGGGGAGTGGTTTGGTGGGTGGTGGTTCTGCACATGCGCTCTGGAGTCTTTGGCTCGTTAGCTGAGTGACTTCGGATGAAACCAGTGTATGAGTTCCTGGAGACAGAGGCTGGTGTCTGATTAGTCTAGTTCCCAGTGCTGGGAACTAACCCTGTGCCTGGCGCACAGTAGGCACCAGGAAATGGGTGCGGAATAAGGGAATAAATACATGGATGGCTGTACAAGGGCTTCACGGTATGTCCTTATGGATCAGTAGTTAATTTTCAACAATTGGCTAATGATTAATATTTGCCTGAGAGGCTGACTTTTGTTGTCTGATGTTAATGAGTTTGCCTTT